TATTTAGACAAATTCAGAAAAAGTAGTTTCAAAAAATTATATTAAGAGATCCTTCAGAGGAAGATATGAAATTCTGATTTTTTTTGGTAAGTTATGTCAAATGACCTTCCCTAGTCTTCCACCAAATTCCTGTATCAATCTGTTTAAATTTTCCTGTTCTTTTATAATATAAAGCCATGAAGACATTGATCTTCGTGGGGTTCAGCTGTGGTGTGCTTTGCTATGATGCTGGCACCTGGAGTCTGAGGCCACGTGGGAAGTCCATGTTCAATGCCTGGCCCACCCTGAAATAGGCTGGGCTAGGAGACACGGGCCTGCGGTCCTAGCTACCTGGAGGCTGGGGCAGGCAGATCACTACGTGAGTCCTGTCAAGATTCTCTCTCTCTCATAAAATATAAACAAACACATTTTATAAAACAAAATTTACCTTTGCCATTATGAGGCTTCACATTTAGTAGCTAACATTTTATAAATACAGAATGTACCTGGGCTAGCCCACAGTGTAGTAAAGGCAGCTGGATCCCACACGGCTGACTATAAGGCTAGAGGTCATCAGCTTGAAATGTGCACTGGGCATGTGTGCATGCATGCCCAGAATCCCAAACAGAGGGGGAGATCCGAGGAGAAGGGATTGCTGTATGACTCTTTGCCATGCTGTTTTCTGATATCCCTCCCTGCCTTGTAAATGCACATGCCCTCTAGCAAATTTTAAAAAAAAAAAGAACATATTTTTTTTTCTATTTAAACATTTCTTTTCATTATTATTGCTAAACTTTTTTTTAAACAACGGGTCACCAGTAGTAGTCTTAATCACATTTTGAAGATATCCCAATTCATGCCCTAAGATATCTAGAATTACACTCCTGAGATATCCATAATCACACTCCTAAGATATCTAGAATCACACTCCTAAGATATCCATAATCACAGTCCTAGGATGTCCATAATCACACTCTTAAGATATCCATAATCACACAAGCACTTTCAGTCATGAACAATATAAAAAAAAATCAGTCATATAGTTTATGAGTCATCATTCAATGATAGAACTATTAGAAACAAAGTTTCTCTAAATCAAATCCCATAATAAAAACACTCATATCAAATACATTTTACTCTCAAAAAAACTCCACAACTCTAAGTAAAATTTTAAAAACCATTGAAATTTGGAGCATTCCCATTGTAGGCATTCCTTCCTTGCCCTCTCCCTGGAGAAAATATCTTTACTTATAAGATTTTGAAGAACATTTAGGGCCCTTTCCTAATGCTTTATCAAAATGCAACATTTAAGTTGCTACCTCCATCTACATGTATGGGTTTAGGGACACACTATCCATTTTAATGAATTTATTAAATGCTCTACTACATTGCAAGAAACTGCACTAAGTACTATGAATCAAAGTAATGTCCTTATGGCTCTTACACTTTATTCAAGAAGATAATGTGTGTGTGGGTGTATATATATATACAACCCAGACACACATCACACATACATACATACATATAAATTACAGCATACTACAATTTGTAATAAACATGGTATCAAGTATCTGAAGAGGGTGGAAGTTAGAGATAATAGATGATTTTAGGGAACACAGATTATGTAAAAATTGTCACTTGAGCTTCATAAACTATCCGGAGAAAGTGAAAGAAAAAATAATTTATAAAGGTATGGAGGGACCAGCAGTTAGCGTAATGGCTATGTCGCTGAACTCCCATGCAGCCGACCACGGTTCAAGTCCTGGACCCAGTGGCTTAAACTCATGCCGGACGCACGTGCGTGCGTGCCCAAGATCCCAAGAGGAGAATGGAGGAGAAGGGATTGTGGCGTGGCCATCCCTCCAGGGAGGTGATTTCTTGCTTTCTGTCTCTTTGTCTGTCTCTGTCTTTCTGGCGAGAGTACAGGCCCTATAGCAAAAACCTCTCCAAAAAAAAAAAGGTATGGAGATGAATAAAGGGGCTCTCTAGAAGTCATGTGGTGAAACTTAAAGCTATACAAAGGAGAGTAGTGAAGGAAATGCTATTCTAATTTCAGAAGTGAAGAAATTAAGGTGTTCCAATCTCCAGGCTTGGTAGTTCAGACTTCCTTAATTCAGTATTGAATTGCTGTCCTAGCAGTCTATTATCAAAGGCAGCACCACAAACAGACAGGTGCTTCAGTCAGATTAACTTGAGGAAGCAGGGTAAAGAGAGAGTTGAGTTAACCTTAACTGTAACCGTAACTCAATAGAAAAAAAAAAAATGGAATAAGAATAGAAAGTGGAAGAAGCCAGTATGTGCCAGGCACTGATAGAATTTCATTTAATCTTCTCATTATATGATATCTTACTGAATCCTAACGATTCAACTCTAATACACGTTCATAGATAAGAAAACTGCGGCAATTCAACAATGGTTGGCAGCCCCAAAACAAAAGCTGATTGATGGGGAATTATACAAATTTATGGACTTGGGAGGCAAACAAACAGGAAGGTCAAACAGATGAGAAAAATCTAGAGTCCTGAAAATTTAAAATGTAAGCGAAATAACTGGTGGAGAATCCATCAACTAAATATAAAGAAAAATAAGACATCCATAAAAATCAGCAACCTAAAAAGCAGTCATAAATTCAACTTAATAAGAGGGATAAAAAGCACATTTGTTTCAGACAGAGAAAATGGATTAGCTAAATGTTTAAAAGGTTGCATTGAAAGAAAGAACCTCAAGATCTCATTAACGAACAGTTTTAAAATGATGAGATCCCACCATTCCCTGATAGGCAGGGGAGTTGACTAAGGTTGTAGGTTCCCAGAGTTAAGGAAACTGAAGAAAAGTTAGTTAAAAGTGTCATGTAGAGATGTCAAAATAATTACGATAGGTGACAGGATATAGAGGAAAACTATGATTGTGATACAGAAGTCACTGATGCTTAAAAAATAATCGAGGAAAGCAGCAGTTAGTGTAATGGCTATGTCGCTGGATTCCCCCGTAGTCGACCGTGGTTCGCGTCCCGGACCCGGTGGCTTAAAACTCACGCCAGGCGCGTGTGCGTGCGTGCCCAAGATCCCGAGAGGAAAATGGAGGAGAAGGGATTGTGGCGTGACCATCCCCCCTGGAGGGTGATTTCTCGCTTTCTGTCTCTATGTCTCTCTCTGTCCGTCTGGCGAGCGCACGCGCCCTATAGCGAAAATCTCTCAAAAAAATAATAATAATAATCAAAAGAACACAGACGTGAGAGATAACCAACAAAGAAGACAGCAATATAGAGAGGACGGTGTGTCCAAGAAGAAATTTTGAGGAGTACTGGTAATAAAACCAATGTCACCAATAAGCATCAGTCAAGAGCTAGGAAAAATGCTGACACTATTTTTTTTTCTTACCTATTTTGATTGAAGAAAAATAAAAGGAATTGCCTTTATTACCCTTAGACATATCCATTATATCTATTATCATTATTATTTTAGAACCAGAATAATCATTTTATTTCAAGAATTGAGATAGCAGCCATTGTCTCTTAATTTCCAAGATGCCTTCCTCACCCAGAGAGCCAAAACAGGTAGGCAGGTAGGAGCCTGCCATGGACAGTCACAGGTTTCTCAATCACATAATAGAATTTAATGAATGGTCTCTAAGACTACTTTTAATATAACCATGGTAAAATAAAACTTACTCAAATCTAATACGTAATTATGTAACTGTTACTTAAAATGTACTCAAATTTAATATATAATGCTATAAATTATTTACTAAAGCTAAACTATTCCATTTTCATCTATTTAAAATCATTTGTAAAGTTGCAAATTATTTTGATGATAAATCTTAAAACTGAGGTTATCTTGAATAAGTCCTCAAAAAAAGCAGCTTGTGGGGACCAGCAGTTAGCGTAATGGCTATGTCGCTGGACTCCCACGTAGTCGACCGTGGTTCAAGTCCCAGACCCAGTGGCTTAAAACTCACGCCCGGCGTGTGTGTGGGCATGCCCAAGATCCTGAGAGGAGAATGGAGGAAAAGGGATTGCAGCGTGACCATCCCCTCTGGGGGTAACTTCTCGCTTTCTATATCTCTGTCTCTGTTTGTCTGGCAAGTGCATGCGCCCTATAGCAAAAAGCTCTCAAAAAAAAAAAAAAAAAAAAAGCATCTTGTAAGAATGTAATACTCAATATATTGCTAATTTTTTCCTTTGTTCTCTCTCTTGCTTTCTATATATACGTAGGTAAACATGTACATAAACACAAACACATACAGTATTATACTAAAGTGATAACAGCTTAAATTTCTAAAACAGTTCTACTGGATAACAAGTGGGCAGCTGAAGGTGAAAGGTAGACCAAGATCAAGTATACTGCTGATGTAACTTTCCACCTAGAACGAAATGGAAATTTACAATGGGCTGCGTTCCATTTTTCCAGTTTTTATGCAGGTATTTAAAACTGTCAGTCTCCTGAATTACATCTTTACTTCTTGCTGAGTTGAAGTTTCATTTTATATTTCTATTTAACTTATCCACATTTTAACAAATTAATCAAATTATTCAAATACCAATTTTATAAAAAGCTTGATAAATAAAAAAATCACATTTTAAGGATGGTAGTTTCTGCAAAATTAACTTTTAAAAAGCAGCTTGCATTGGAAAGAATAATTTGGGAAGAAACAAAAAGGGTTTTCTTGTAGATCTGGTTTTGTAAGCTTGGCTCACAAAATCAAGGTAACTGAGGACCAGTCCTCTAGAAAAGGATTTTTAAAAACTTTCAAATAATTAACAAGGTATTGAATAGTTCTAAATTTCAGGAATCACTTGACTAGATTAGTAGAATTTATAGCATTGATATTAAAACATTTGTTTAAAAAAATTTAATACCCTTTTAGCATTATTTTTTCCTTTAGGCATTTTTAACAAATAGACAACTGAACTGAATAATAACTAAAGCATTTTGTCAAAAAAAAAAAATCAAGAGGTATATCACAGAGGGTTTCAATGGAAGAAGAAAGGGAGGTCCTGGTTTTCACTCACTCCAGCATACCTGCCATGAACAGTAGTGGATTTGATAACATCCCCAGGTAGAACCACCGAGAGCTCAATGTCTCTCTCTATCATGTTTTCTTTCTGTTCCATGCTGAAAGGAGTGGATTCTACAGACTCATCAACTGCAGAGACATCAACACTTTTGGTCTCGGCTGGAGGAAGCGGTGCCTTGCCTTTTGGTTTTCTCCTAAAATATAAATAAAACATAGAAAAAATATTTTTAAATAACTAAAATAATCTAATTTTATAAAAATCCAAAGAGTGTGTGTGTATAGATAGATAGTTTTTTTTTTTCCATGTAGAAAAAGAATGTACCCAGATGTTAACTGTTGGTTTTATTAGGGATGTTGGAATTAAGGAGAAAGGTTTTCAGCTTTATTTTGCTTTTCTAATCAGCATTTGTTTTGTTTTGCGCATAAACAAGGACATGATAAAAAGATTAAATGTTTTCTCCCAAGTTCAAGTAATAATGTTTTCACTTCAGCAAATCGAGAGTATATTAGCTCTTCAGGAAAGTCATGAGGTATTTTTCTGTTTTTCTATGCAAAAATGTATCCTGATTTTTCTGACAACCCAATAATTTGTTTTCTTTGATGAGATAGATTATAAAAATTCTTAATGTCTCAAGATGGAGATCAGTATACCTCATTCTCACGTCTCACACTGGCTTTTACGTTCAGCCCTTTCTATTTGTTTTCAATACAGTGTGCTCCTTTCTCTCCAGATTAAATTCTACCTGCTCTTCAAAGTTGAGGTATATCTACCCTTTCACCCCAATGCTCCCCCACAGAATTTATTCTTTCTTTGAGTTAATATAGCACATATAACTGATTACATAAATATACAATTTCACATTTCTTTTCTTGGTACCAATTTCATCTCTCTGCCTGGACTTAAAACCCCCTGCAAGAAAAGCAACACAGTGGGCCAGCCCTGTGGCCTAGCAGATAAGGGAGCTGGATCCCATATGGCTGACTGAGTGGTTTGAGTCCTAGACGCAAAAGCTTGATAGACACTCCAGGTGCACATTCTTATGTGTCTAAAATCCTAACAGAATGGGGAATGAAGAAAAGAGAAGGGATTACAGTGTACCCATGCCTCTTTAATGGCCGGTTTCTCCTTCCTCTATCTGTCTGTCTCTCTCTCTCTCTCTTTGGTGAGTACTCATGACCTCTGTCACAGAGAGAGAAAGACAGAGAGAGGGAGAAAGAGAGAAAGTGTGCTTGTTGATGGCTATATTTCTCACTGCATCACACGATGAACAATGAACTGTGGTTATTTGCTAAATTAAGTATCTTCTTTAATGAAAAATGTGACAAATAATTTTTCTAGTAAAATTTTTAAGTGTCACTAAGACAACCCTTTAATTTATAACAGAAGTATTAGGTTGTGAGAAAAGTCATGACACATTTTTACATAGAAAAATATAGAGAAATGTCATGACTTTCTAACAACCTAATAGTAGATATGCCACCCAATCATTGGCCAATTCATTGATTTTATGGGCTGAAAAATAACATATGAAAAAATTAACTAAAAGTAATGACATTTATGCTTATATTCAAAGCACTGTAAGTAAAAATATTTGAATTTTTTTATGACAGGCTAATTGATTTTGGAATCCTACTTTTCACTCAGGAAAAAATATATATTTAAATTCCTCCCTCCAGTATTTCCAAGACAAAATTAAAAACCAAACAAGATCAAAGATGTTCTTTATATTTTTGTTTGTTTTGTTTGCTTGTTCGTTTGTTTTTGGCTATAGGGTGTGTGCACTCACAAAAGAGAGAGATAAAGATAGAAAATGAGAAATCGCCCCCCATGGGGGATGGCCATGCTGCAGTCCCTTGCCATCTAGTTTCCTTTTGAGATTTTTGGCCCATAAGCACTCATGCTAGGCATGATTTTCAAGTCTCTGGGTCTGGGACTTATTGGCTATGTGGGATCCACCTGCCTTAACCTCCATACCACCTGCTGGCCCTAAAGATTGTCTTTCTAAATAAATGTGAAACATCCATCTTTTGTTATTTTCAAAATTCGAGGTCTCATAAATCCAAGCACCTTTAAGTATTAGTTATTAAAAAAAAGAAGCCGTGTGTGTGTGTGTGTGTGTGTGTGTGTGTGTGTGTGTGTATTATGGTTAGAGGGCTTGTGTGTACACCAGAGACAGAGAGCCCGAGAGAGAGAGAGAGAGAGAGACAAAGTAGCCACCACAGGAAATGGTGACATCAAACTGCATCTCAAACACAGTATCAGCTAGATGCAATCTAGATGCCTTAACCACAAGGCCATGGAACTGTACTCATGATAGGTTAATCTCCTAAAATAACCAACTTTTTACATTTTAGTGGTATATCAACAAAGATAATATTGAGCTTTAGAAAAGATTTATAATAGCAATAAAAATGAATTTAAAAAACTATTAAACAAATATTCCAGGAAGTTTATCAAAATCTATATGTAAAATAAAACCTCCCAATTCCAAATTTTGGGTTTTAATCTGCAGAAATTGCCTACTTGTATACAACAAATATTTTTTCCGTAACAATTATTACAAAAGATTCAGCCTAAACACTGAGGATTTAAAGATCAATAAGACCAAGTTCCTAGCAAACTCTGGTATGGTTTGAAGGTGTCCCCTCAAAATTTATGCATTAAGATCTGATGAGTTACTTTAATGCTGTTGAGAGGGTGACACTTGACCTGATTATGGTGTTGAGAGGTATGGTTTGGGTATCTGATTAGGCATCAGGGTGGGACCCCTACTGTTGACCCCTGGTGGGTTTATAAGGAGAGGGAATGAGACCACAACTGAGACACATGGACATGGACATGTTCTGCTCAAGCCCCTGCCCTCTCCCATGTTATCCACCAGCAAGTCTCTGGGCTTCCTTAGACCTCCAAACCATCAACTATTCATATAAATTACCCTCCGGTGATTCTGTTAGTATTAACAAAATGGATTAGAACATACCCCAAAAGGTCCATTGCACCAAAGGACTGACAGACATGTAAAACTGCCATAAAGTTTGATGAGTTCTCTAATATAGATATGCAGATCGTACAGCTGAAGGCCACAGGAGGAGAATCCAATTTTTCTAGGAATCTAGAACTATCTTACAGATGGGAAACATGAAGTGGGATTGGGCAGAAAAAATAGAACCATATATGAAGAGAAAAAAAATGGTACTTCAGACAGAGGAAAGTAAACACAGCCATAAAGGAAAACGGTACTTCTTTTTTTTTCTCTTTTTTTTTTTTCGGGGGGTGGGGATGGGGAGAGGTTTTTGCTATAGGGCACGTGCACTCGCCAGAAAGACAGAGAGACAGAAACTGAGAAATCACCCCCCAGGAGGGATGGCCGCAATCCCTTCTCCTCCATTCTCCTCTCGGGATCTTGGGCATGCAGGCACACGTGCCCCCACGTGAATTTAAGCCACCATGTCCAGGACTCGCACTGTGGTCGACTACGTGGGAGTCCAGCAACATAGCCATTACACTAACTGCTGGTCCTGGAAAATGGTACTTCTTACAATAGAACAGTTTGGTAAAGCTCCAAGGTGAAGTCAAAGAAGATGAGAAATCAGAGAATCTACTGAAATCTTCTAACAAGAGATTTAGCAAGGTGGCTTGGTACAAAATTAATATGCTAAAGTCAAGAGCCAGTATAACTATAAGCAAAAACTAGTCAGAAAAGATAATGAAAGAAAAGAATCCCTTTTATAATAGCAATAAAAATGTCTTTTAAAAGACCTCTAAGTCATCCCATCTCAATACCTTTCATTTCTTTCCCTTTCACATAAACATATATCCAATGCATCTATAAATTCTGTCAACTCTCCCTACAAACAGATCCGGGACCCACTGCCAACTTTAACCATCAAGCACCTCTGTTCAAACTGCTTCCTAGCATAGGTTTTCCTGTTCCCAACACTGTCCCTTTGTAACTAGTCTCAATGTAGCAATTAAATCAATTCTTTTAAAATATAAGTCAGGGGTTGGCTCCATAGCCTAGTGGTTAAGGGAGCCAGATCCTTCTCCACTAACTGTGGTTCCAAACCTGGCTCCAGTGGCTTGAAAACACACACCAGGAGTGTGTACATGCATGCCGAAATCCTAACAGGATTATGGCATGACCAGGACCCACTGGGGATGCTTTCTCTCCCCCTCATCCTCGGGCTCACCTCTCTCTGGCAAGCACATATGCCCTCTGGCAACTGAAGAAAAGAATACAAGTCAGACCACTGCACTACTTCTCACATCCTTCCTACTTGACCCACAGTAAGATTAGAATCCTGGCATCTCTTCTCCCTTGTCTCTAGCTTCTTTAATCTCCTTTCTACCACTTTTTCCCTAGGCTCCCTAGACTCCAGTCCTAGGACTCCTACCTTTTCCTTGAACACACCTACAACAGAAGACAAAGCCCCAACAGCGTTGCTTCTGTCTTTAAAATAACCCCTTTTCTCTGCTTTACTTTTTGCCATAGGATTTAGCAGCAACAAACTTATCTTGTCTTTTTCCATGAAAAGATAATTAATTCCATGAGAACAGGGACTGGCCTCTACCACCAGGTGTACACCTGCTCACAAATGCATAGAACCTGTGGAACAATATAGTAGGCATGAATAAATTAATTCAGTGAATACTTTGCACATAAGAAGAGCTACCTAAGCAGTTACCTATAACTGGGAAGGAAAAAAGTCCTTACCACCAAAACAAACAAACAAACAAAAACAGTTTTTATTTTATCTTATGTATTTATTTGTAGATTTTTGCCATAGGGTGCTTATTTATTTATTTATAGAGATTTTTGCTGTAGGTTGAATACACTCACCAGAGAGATAGAAAGTGAGAATTTGTCCCCCAGAGAGGATGCCCATGCTGCAATTCCTTCTCCTTTATTCTCCTCTTGGGATTTGGGGCATTCATGTACACATGCCAGCATGAATTTCAAGGCTCCAGGTCTGGGACTCAAACCGTGGTTGACTACACAGGAGTCCAGTAACATAATTATTACTCCATCTGCTGGTCCCCCAAAATCAGTTTTTATATTAGACTTACCTATTTTGGATTTCTAACAAATTAATAGATTAATTATTTTTTAAATGATGAATTTTGAGAAATACTTGCTGGATTTATTAGCAAGGTATATCTAGGAGTCTTAGGGCTTTAAAAAGAGTTTCATGA